GGCAGGGATTTACTCAGTGGTTTCAGAACCAAGAGCCCAGAGGCAGGCAAGCAGGCTCTGGAAGGCTGGAAATCCTAGGAGGCTTCCTCCCTGTGGTAGAAAACCTTGGCAGCATCTCCAAAGGTACTGGAGAGTGACCCTAGTGAGGCCAAGTGGAACCACAGAGGAGAGCTTTCAGATCCCAGGGGCTTCTCTTCTCTGCCAGAGAAAAGGGATGCCAGGGAGTTTAGAGTTCAGTACCTGCCTGGCACCAACCCAACTGGGTTTTTGTGGCTCTTGATCTGGTGCTTTCTCCATTCTGATTTTGTTCCCTCTTCACTTAACTCTGACTCCATGCAGAGCAAAACTGTCTCCAAGTCAAAGGAGAGCACTGGCCCTCCTCTCTTCAAGTAAGGAGTAAAAACCTAGACAAACCACTGAGAACTTAAGGCCTGCCTAAAGTCTGGTCTTAAGCCCCTCGGATGCAGACACTTCCTTATCCCACACATCTGCAGTCCTGGAGTCCCCCAGGTCCTGGAGGGATCAATGAGGAGAGGGGAGGCCAAGAAGTTCTCTAGCAATTCCTTCCTTTCCTCCCAGGAAAGGCCACAGCGCCATCCATTGCTTGATACAAGCGGCTTCCCCCAGACAGCTTTGGCCGTTTCTGTACGAAGCCTCCTGCTCAGCACCCCCAGCCCGTCTCTGCCCAGCTGCAGTCCCAGCCCTAATCTTCTGCCCCAGACCCAACAGTTTTGTCTGTGGGTCAGACAGGCTGAGAACAGGCGTGGGGCAGCCCTACAGGAAAGGGGCAGTGCAGGGCCTCTGGGGGCGTCCTTCAGGCAGCAGCTCCAGGCTTAGTATGAGGGCGTCCTGGCCAGCCTAGACTTGGGGTATGATGGGCGGGGGCGTGGAGTGGGAGCGGGCTGAGCTGGCAGAGTGCAGGCAAGGCCCAGGGAGCCGGCGACTGCAGCGTTGCAGAGATGTGGCTGTTAATATTGCTTCCCGTCCCACAGGGCAAAACACAATAACACACACACACACACACACACACACACACACACACACACACACACACGCCCAGTATTTCCTAGGAACATCTAGACCCTGCGCCGGCTGTCACCAGACCCCGCCTCTGAGAGGCTTCCCCATAGCCCAGAGACTGGGAGCCCCAGGTAGGCTCGGCGCAGCCACCACTCTCACCCCCCACTCCCCACCACACACACCCCGAAAAGGCAATGGGTTCCCAGCCAAGGAGTCTCTTGGATAGCCATCCCCTCCTGCCCTGCCTGTGGATACAACCCCTCCCATCGGGCTCCGGGATGCTTCGCTCTCCCGCCCCCAGCTGTGCAGCGCCCTAAGGCAGCTGGGCTGCGTCCGTCCGGTCTCTGTAATTAGGGAGCACAAGTCTCCGTCCGCTTCTCCTTCGGAGCTGGGCGGGGAAAGCATGTTCCCGACCCCGAGAAGGAGGAGGAAGAGGACGAGGCGGAGACCGATGAGCCCCAGGTCGGCTTTGCGATCCCCGGGAAACGGGGAGCAAAGGAGCAGGGGAAAGTTTGAACCGGGAAAACTCCCTCCCCACTAATGCAGGAGGGCAAAGCAGGAAGGGGGGTGCGGGGAGATACAATGGCAGGAGGCTCTCTTGCCTTCGGATCCCGGGGGGAGCGGGGTTGGATGCGGGGAGATAGACCCGGGAAAGCCGTGTTCCCAGCCCCTCCCCCTGCTAGGAGGTGGCCGCACAGATCACCAGCTACCTCTGCGCCCCAAACCCTGCCTTTGCCATCTTTTGCCTTCCAGTCTCTGGCGCCCGCCCCGTCCCGCCCCGTCCTGTCCCATCCCCCCTTTCCCCTCGGAGAGCCCCGAAGTGCTGCAGCTCCTACCTCGGGTGAGAGACCTCGGGACTCCCCCAGTCCTGCAACGTACGAGTTCTACTCTCCCTTCGGATTATCCACGGCCGCGGAGGCGCTTGGGGATCCCCCCTCCAACCCCGGCCTGGCTCTCTGCAACTCGGGGCCAAGGAGCTCTGTGCCCTGAGAAACAGAACCCGGCAGGAGGGCTGGGAGCAGAGGCACAGCCTGGCACATGGGATCCCCAGATGGGAGAAGGAGGCTCCAGCCAGACTCCGGAGCCGAGCGCCGGCCGCACCGAGAATACGGAGGGAGAGAGGGAGGGACGGACAGTGAGCGTGTGTGTGTGTGTGTGTGTGTGTGTGTGTGTGTGTGTGTGAGAGAGAGAGAGAGAGAGAGAGAGAGAGAGAGAGAGAGAGAGAGAGAGAGAGAGAGAGAGAGAGAGAGAGAGAGAGAGAGTGCGTGTCTGACTAGGGGGGATGTGTGTAAGGGACAGATACCTTCCTCCCACCAGCCTCTGCTGGAGACTGTGAGAATACACAGGCAGGTTGGAGTGGCAAACTGGGAGGAGAATGGTAGTGACCCCAGGGCCTTGGCTTCTTATGTAATTTAGAACTGGAAAAGACTTTAGAGATCATCCAGTGATGTGAGCTAGATTCTGGTCCAACCCACTCATTAGATGGAGCTAAGAGGCCAGAGAGCAGAAGAGACTTGGTCAAGTTCATAAAAGAAGTGAATGGCAGAGCCAGAACTAGAACCCAGGTCTTCTCATGCAATAGCCAGGCTCTCTCCACTATATGCTTCATCTGGCCCCTGTACCCCAGACCTGTTGACATTGGTAACTGTGTATCTCCTGGAGATCCAGGGTCTGGAGAGAAAACCTAGGTACCCCCTTGATTTCCCCAGTCTTGTCTTTCTAAGTTGATCCATTTTCCTGACCCTTGAATGTTAAAGGAAGTATGTGGGGGGATAAGGGGTGGGGATGAAGGAGAGGAGCCTGCAGGAGGCTGCATACCACTCCAGGCTTCCAGGACACAGATCGATCTAATGTGAGTGGAGGATGCCATGGGGACAGGCCAGAAGACCTAGGACAGGGCCCTCTGGACTCCAAAGCAGCAGATATCTTCACTGAGTGACTGATAGAAAGGTCTTCACCTTCCCATTCTATGAGAGAAGGGTTCTCCTCCGAGTTAGGATATTAAAGTGGTAGAGAATGAATAAAATACTAGAGAGTAACCTTACTCTCTGTGGCCTTGGAGCACAGATGAAGAAACCTAGGAAAGGAACCTCACATCCCTACTTGCCCCACCAAGAGTCAGTGTTGGGGGTTAGGATGAGTATGCAGGTCCTAAACACTATATAGGAAGAATCTATATGGTCCCTAGTGGCAATTCCTGTCCCATTCAAGGGAAAAGATAGAGAAAACAAGCCTATGAGTTGTTTAAGCAATAAAGAAGCAGGATCAGAGAGGTTAAGTGATTTACCTACAATCATCCAGCTATCAAAGCTGAGAACTTAAACCTAAGTCGTCTGACCCCAAATAAGTACTTCATGCATCATGTAGTCTCCATATCCATCAACATTCATTTATTTACTTAATCCTTCCATAAGTATTTATTGAATGCTTACTGTGTACAAGCCCAGTGTTAGGCAGCAAGGACTCCACCTGTCTGAATCTGTTTCATTTGCAAACTGAGGATAATATTCTCTCTCCTGCCAATATCACCAGGGTATTGTGAGGAACCAATGAGATAATGTGTTTGGAAGCACTTTATAACTATAAAGTGCCATAGAAATAAATGTGAGGGATTATCATCAGTATAGAAACAAATGAACACTGGCCCTTTAGCCACTCACAACGCCTGCTATAAATGCCACAACGCCTGAAGTACATAGTTGACAACCAGAAACTCACCAGTCATTCAGTAATCATCTCGCTTACAGCCTCGGGGACCTTCCACATTAGTACATACCAAGGTCTGGGGGACATCTGGACAACAAGGAATACTGCCCTGAAGACTGATCTTCTCCCCCAGGCCCAGTTTCTTTTTCCTGTCCTGTCCTAGGTTCAGACTGTGTGACAGCCTAAGCTCCGAGATTCCATGGAGGGAAGGATTTTTTCTGCCCCTAACAGTCTTACATGTATAACAGTCTTGCACAGTAGGATAGCAAGTGCTGGGGAAATAAGAATTTTTATTGTTCTTCAGTTGTGTCTGACTCTTCGTGACCCCACCTGGAGTATTCTTGGAGTTGTGTGACATTTACTTCTCCAGCTCATTTTACAGATGAGGAAACAGGCAAACATGGTTAAGTCACTTGTCCAGTGTCATAAAGCTAGCGTCGGTCTGGATTTGAACTCAAGTGTTCCGGCGCTCTATTCACTGTGCCACCTAGCAGCCTAAATAAGTATTACAAGCATTTAGATAATCCTTCATCAGCTTCTCATTTGATCCTCATAATTGCCTTGAGAGATAGTGTATCTCCCCATTTTGCAGATGGGGAAACCGAGGCATTCAGAAAGGAAATAACTTGCTCAAGGTCACATATCAAGTTAGGTGCTGTACCAAAACCTGAATCTAGATTTCCCGACCCAGCCTTTCCCATGCTCTCCTGCCTTGCCCCCAAAGCTTTAGCCAATTTATCTCATCGTGCCACTTCCCCCAGGAATAGGAATTTCCCTCCCCTTACCTTGGCCCTTAAGCTGCCAAGCACACTCCCCACTCTGTTTACTTCCAAGTGGATTTTCTGTCATTGAGGCTCGGTCTCCTCCCCAAACCCTCCCCCGGAACCCCGATGGGCTCATTTCTTTTCATTGATCTCTCCCGCCCTTCTCTTTGTATTTCCCCTCCTTCTGTCAGTCTTTCTCCTCCCTGCTTTTCTCTATTCTTAGCCCGACTCTTTATGCTTGCAGGGACCCGCAGTTCCAGGCTCGGCTGCCCCCCCCCCCGCTTTCTTCTCCCCAACCCCCACAAACTTACTTGTGCAATTTTCTGACTGCTCTGGGTGTTTCTCCCCACCCCACCCCCACCTCCTGGGATCATTTACTTAGATGCTCTCTCTGTTCTCCCTCTGTTTGCTGGGCCGTAGCTCTCTTGTTCAGTCCTCCCTTCCCTCCACCATATCCCCCCCCCGCCCCTCTGCTCTCCTTTCTCCCCTTGCTTCGGGACTCCCGGGTACCCTTTTCTCCAGCCGCTGCCTGGGGTCCCTCTTGCTGTGTTTCGGTTTCCCTGGGTCTCTGTCTCTCTCGGATCTCCGTCTGTCTGTCTCTCCCCCTCTCTCCCTCCCACCTCCCTCTGCCTCTTTTTCTCTTTCCCTCTCTCTCCATCCCTCTCTCATCTCCCCCTTCCCCCTCCCCGCGTTTCCCCATCCCTCTCTCAGATCTCCGCCCCCTCCCTCCCTGTTCCCAGGCTTTCCTCCCCCTCCCGAGCCCCCTCCCTCCCGCTGCCCGCCGCCCCGCCCGCGTTGCCTTTGTCTGTAGGAGTTGAAAGTTAAAAGCTTTCCCAAGTTGATCTGGAGTAGCTTTTCCCAGAGCCTTTCATCTCCACAGCGCATTTGTAAAACGGCACAGACGGAGGGGCCGTGACACGAGCAGCTAAGACACCTCAGGGCCTAGCTGGACCAGGGAGGCGAGGCGCGAGCGCCCGCAGCGCCCCGGACCATTTGCAAGTGACCCCCCTTTCCCTTCCTAATAAAACCCCCTAGGTTTCCACACACCGGCACAACACCCCCAAAGCGCTGGAAACTGGGCGTCCACCGCTCCCCGATCCTGGCCGCCCTCGTGGCCCCGGGGCGCCCCCTGGAGGCCAGAGGGGCATCCTCCCGCTCGGGGGCGCTCCTGGCCTCCCTCCGCCTCCTCCCCACAGGGTAAGCGGCTCCCGGGAGAAGCAATTAGCAGCCTCCTCACTGGGAGAGCGGACCCGTCACGGAGCTAGTGGGAGGGAGCCGGCGGGAGCCAAGGAGGAGGAGGAGGAGCTGGGGACAGGGGCTCAGAACAGCAACTGGGGGAGGGGGTAGAACTAAGATCATCGAACCCTGATCTGGGGGAGCCTCTGGATCGTTGAATGTCAGAAAATAGAACGTCAGAGCTGGGAGAGCCCTTGGAACGCGGAATGTTAGAAAACAGAACACAGAATATTAGAGCTTGGGGAGCCCTTGGAACACAATGTTAGAACACAGAACATTAGAAATGGGAGAGCCTTAGGAACGTGGAATGTTAGAACAGAACATTCCAGCTGGGAGAGTTCTTGGAACTCAGAGAGTTAGAACACAGAACATTAGAGCTGGGAAAGTGTTTGCAACATGGAGTATTAGAACACAGAACATTAAGAAATGGGAGAGCCCTGGGAACTTGAAGTTAGAATACAGAGCATTAGAGCTGGGTGAGGCCTTGGAATGTGGAATGTTAGAACACAGAGCACCAGAGCTGGGAGAGCCCTCACAACACAGATATTGGAATATAGGGATATAGGGTAGGAGAGGACGTGCTATCTAGTACAAACAGCTAGTTCTAGACCCTCCAACTCTTGACGCCTAGTGCCAGCAGACCCTAATCATTCCCTTTCTATGAGTCAGTTTCCTCACATGGCTTAACAGGCACCTTTATACTGCCTATTTCAATTACTGTGGAGAGAGGAATTTGTAAATGGTAATAAATAAATAAACATATGAATGAATGAATGGAGCTTCTGTTTCCTGAAATTTAGAACTGGAAGGTATTTTAATCTAATTTCTTGATCACTGCCTTTTTGCTTTTAAATCACACTTATTTCTGAATATGCCCCTCCTTTCTCCCCTAACGCAGCCTCACAGCACAGGATAGATTGCCAGAGCTAGACTCAGGAAGCCCTGAGTTTGAATCCTTCCTTACCACTTCCCAGCTATGTGATCCGGGGCAAATAACTTACTCTGCCTCAGAATTCCCATCTGTAAAATGAGGATAATAATGACACTGCTTCCCAAGGCTGTTGTGAGGATAAGATGAGATAATATATGTATTAATATTATTGACCCAACAAGCCTTTTCTTACAAAAGAAGATTAAAACAAATACTTATCTACTAAGCTTAACATAGTAATTCATCTATTTATCATAGCAACCAGTATTTGGTCCTTATCTGAGAGAAAATGCAATACTCCATACCCATGATTCCTACCCACCTCTTTAACAGGAGGGAGGTGCATTTTCTCATTTTGTCTTCTAGGCCATGTTTCGTTACTATACATTATACTATTATCATTATAGTTTTCATTTTCTTGTCAGTCAGTCAGTCGATAAACATTTACTAAGCACCTACTATATGCTAGGCACTGTGCCTTTAAACACTGGGGTTACAAAGATAGGTAAAAGATAGTCCCTGCTCTCAAGGACCTCAGAGTCTAAAGGGGAAGACCATATGCAAACAAGCTATACACAGAATAAACTGAAAACGACAAAGGGAAGGCACTAGAATTAAGGGGGATCAGAAAAGGCTTCCTATAGAAGGTGGCACTAGGATGCCCATCAATTGGGGAATGGCTGAGCAAGTTGTGGTATATGAATGTAATGGAATACTATTGTGCTATAAGAAATGATGAACAGGCTGACTTCAGAAAAACCTGGAAAGACTTATATGGTCTGATGCTGAGTGAAGTAAGCAGAACCAAGAGGACTTTGTACACAGTAACAGCCATGTTATGCAATGACTAAGATTGTTAAACTGAACCCTTCTCAGTATTACGAGGATCTAAGACATATCCAGAGGCCTCGGGATGGAAAATGCTGTCCACATCCAAAGAAAGAACTATGGAAGTCGAATCACTCTCACTTATTTTTCTCTTCTGTTGAGTTTTGTTTCATCTTTCTGATGGTTCCTCCTATTGGTTTTAATTTTTACTTACAACTTCACTAATGTGAAAATACATTTAATGGGTATGTAAATGTAAAGCCTATATCAGATTGTGCACTGTCTTGGGGAGGGTGGGGGGGAGGAAGGGGGAGAAAAATTTTCAACCCAAAAGCATATGGAAGTGATTGTTGATAAATCAAAATAAATTAACAAAATTTTTTAAAAATAGCCTAAAAAAAAAAAAGAAGGTGGCACTGTTGGAGTCACTGTGTACTATGTTTTCATGGTTCTGCTTACTTCACTCTGTGTCAGTTCATACCAGTCTTCATGTTTCTCTGAATTCTTCACGTTTTTTGTGTTGTGGGGGGTGGGGTTAAAATAACTGTAATTTACCACAGTTTTCAAACCTGGCATTTTAGAGATAATGAAGCTAACAACAATAATAACAACAATAATACTATGTGCCAGGCATTGTTCTAAATGCATAAGTCCAGGCCCAGTGCTCTGCACCCAGAGACATAGTGACTTACCCAAAGTTATACAGACAGGGATAGCAGAGCCAGAATTCTAACCCAGACTCTCCAGCTTCTAGCCTAGAATTCTTTCAGTCATACTGGGCAGTGGCTCAAGACCAATGTGAGCTGGAAGGCAGCAGAGTAAAGGGCAAAGAATGCAGAGCAGCTGTTTAATGCAAGGTGTGACTTTGCAGAAGCAGCTGGGTGGTATAATGGTTAGAGCACCCAGCCGGAAGTCAAGACGACCTGAATTCAAATCCAGCCTCCAATACCTCCTAACTGTGTGACCCTGGGCAAGTCACTTGACCTCTGCCTTTGTTTCCTCATCTGTAAAATGGGGCTAATAATAGCCTTTACCTCCTAGGGGTCGTTGTGAGGATCGAATGAGACATTCATAAAGTGCTTACTTAGCACAGTGCCTGGCACATAGTAGGCACTTAATAAATGTTTGTTCCTTTTCTACTTAGCTTCTCTGAGCTTCACCCTCATCTTTGATGAGGGGGTTGGACTAGGTGACCTCTAAGGTCCCTTCTACATCTATGATTCTGTTATTATTAGAACATAGAAGGTCAGAGATCTTAGAAAAGGTCTTAGAGATCTTTAGAGGTCAGCTGGTCCTCTTCAATCTGCATTTTACAGTTAGGGAAACTGAATGAGGCCCAGAAAAGGGAAATGGTTTGCAAGAGTTCCCAAATTAAATCAACATCAGAGATAGGTCTAGAATCCAAGACTGCAGGTGAAATTCCTGGGTGTGTCAGGGGTGGGGGGTGGGTCTTCAGTGATGAGAGTACATGGGCAGATGGAGAAATCCAAGTAGATTCCAATTCTAGTAAATGGAGCTAGGAAGGCAAATAAGTGAGGTTTGCACAAAGGGAAAGGATGGGTTGAAGAGGTCATGGGCAGCCAAGTTCCCCTTTCAACGAGAAGAAAAAAGCAGCCTTGGCCTCCCATCTCCCACATAACTGGGCAGGGAGCTCCTACAAACCCTTGGGAATATCACGGGAAGCTGAGATCCTTAGCCTAAAGTTTCCTGTCCCAACCCCACTTCCCCCCAAACCCCAATCTATTCAAGGCTGGACTAGTAAGATGGACAGACCCAGGCTATATTGTATCCCTCCCCATTTCATTGTCTAGTCTCTATCTGATCAGCAAATCAGGCTGACAGCCCCCCCTTCCAGCTCTGAACTTCCTCGACCTCCAGAAATAATACAATGATTCACATTTCCACAGTATTTCATCCTTTAGAGAGCTCACAACACCTCTATGAGGTGGGTAATATAAGTAGTCTTAACTTTATGTCATAGAGAAGAAAGCTGAGGTTCAGAGAAGCAGAATTATCAAATGTCAGAACTGGAAGATACCTTAAAACATAGGATGTCATGGCCAGAACAGCCTTTAGAACACCGGATGTCACAGCTGGAAGGGACTTTAGAATACAGAATGTCAGAACACAGAAGGTTCTTAGAACGTAGGATGTCTCGGCTGGGAGAGGCCTTTGAAACACTCCTATTCTCCCTTCTCACTTGGCAGATTAGGAAAATGAAGTATAGCTGGACAAAGTAACTAAGAGGCTGAGATCACACAGCTAGTGAGTGACAGTCGAGTCTTGACCCCAGGTCTGTGGGCTCTGCATCCATCATCCTTTATACTCCACTGTATTGTCTTGCTGCAATCACTCATTTTACAAGCATTTATTAAGTATGAGCACAGCCCCCTCTCTCTCATTTTCTTCTTTCTCTGCCCAATTTCTCTGCCCCAGAGCCATAACTAGGAATGTTGTGCTGGGGACAAGGTGGAAAGGGTTGGGGCAATTTTTTTTTGAGGGGGGTGGAACTAAGGTTTAGGAGGAAGTCCCTCAGAGTGAAGAGGGAAGGAGGAAGCACATACATGACTGTATTACAGATGTCTT